GTGGGAATCTGCAGCAGTGAATCTGCGGGTCTGCAGCCGTGCCCTTCTTGGCGTGACAGCGGGACGTCCCGAAGGTCCGCTCACCTGTTCACCACTCAGACGTCCTGATCTTTTGCCTTCCTAGATCATCCAGCTGTAACCTGTTCCTGATCATGTCTTTAGCCCCGCTGTAACACTGATGCATCAGTCTCAAACGACATGGAGCTCAGGTGTTATTAGAACCTGTGTGTGTTCACCACCCAGCTTCAGCTCTTCTGTGGTTGGGTCTGACCCATGTTAGTACATTTAAGTCCTCCATCAGGCTTGTGCCTCTTCTAGTGTCATTTTAAAGGATTTTATTAATTTATTTAACCGATACTAGATTACCAGCAACAGAAATGCTGCTAAAAACACACAATTATGTGAAGCTGGAAAAATTAGAATACTGTGCAAAATTACATTTATTTCTGTAATTTAACTAGACCGAGATACCATTTAAAGGTTCGGGAACCTTTACAGGTGTTTCTATTTGCAATTTTAAATTTCAGCTGATTAGGGTCTTGTTAAATATCACACAATGACCTTTTAATAGTCTAGATAAGTGTAATGTTCCTGTTAGTAGGTCCTCCTGTTAAGTGCTTATTTATTTAAATTATTCAGGTTTATAAAAAAACATTTGGACATACATTTTATTATGTTCCAGTCATTAGTCATTTATATTTCACTATTGTAGTAATTCTTGCATTCTTTAATGAAAAAAGTAACTAAGTAGTTATTTTTGTTGGTAATCAGTTACTTTTATGATCTTGTAACTGAGTTACTTTTTTGACAAAGTAATCAGTAACTATAACTAATTACTTTTTTAAAGTAACGTTCCCAACACTGATTAACGCACAGGCCAGAGTTTCATCTGCCAGTGCTAGGAGAACGGGACCTGCTCTAGCTGTGAGAATGCCGTGTGTGTGCGCTCACCATGATGACCAGTAGAATATTCTGGAAGTCATTTCTGAATCCCAGTGTGGAGCTGCAGAACAGAGCAAAGTTTCCTTCCAGAAGTTGCAGGGTAAAAAATAGGCTTGCTCAGTCAAACTGCACACGCACGCACAAAAATCATTTTTGTTCCGTGAGGATTTATTCCACACTCACCATGAAACCCAGTGAGGTAAAGAGGAAGACTACGACCAGTTTGGCGTATGGTCCGTGTCCCATCACGAGCCTGATTCCTTGAAAAAAGGCATGGGCTGTGACCAGACCTGGGAATGCTCTAAAAACAGAAAATAAACCAGAAACAGTCAGAACACCACCTGATACCTGTACAAGTCTCTAGAAGCATGTTGCTTTGATTCCTTGCAACATCTTTCACCTAGTCAGCTGACTTTCATGCTTTTCCTTATTGCCTTTAGATTTGACCAAAGCTTTGGCTTGATCACACGGCCCGTATTGCTCAGCTACAACTGTCTCGTTATTGGTCACAGTCAAGCCCCTTCATCACATCACATCACTGTTTTTCATGGAACTTGAAATCAGATTTACAAAATAATGGATCATGCAAAATCATAAGATCTGGTGTAATTCGATATGAATGACTGACCTAAAAAATGAACAGATTTCAGATGAATATGTAAAACCAACAGAGTTGGTGCCATTTTTGTGTTTGCTGATGAAACTTATCTGTGGTAGCCATCTTTTGCCAAGTTAGAGCTAAAAGCTAGTCTGAGCTAACCGCTAGTTTGAAACAAAAAGTAGTCTTAGTCTGAGCCAAACGCTAGTCTGAGCAAACCGCTAGTCTGAGCCAAAAGCTAGTCTTAGTCTGAGCCAAACGCTAGTCTGGGCTAAGTGCTAGTCTGAGTTAACAGTTAGTCTGAGCCAAAAGCTAGTCTGAGCTAACAGCTATGCATCCTCGAACAATTCTCCGGACATCGTTTACTGCAAATCGTGATAATTTCAACAAACATTAGTCAGCTAGCAAGTAGCTAGTTTTTGCTAGCTTTAGCTTTAACATCGATTGACTAACCTTATACCGGCTTCTTCTCCTGGACTGTCTGGACGTGAGGGGGCGGCCTCTGTAAAACACGGGAATCAGAGACGAACGTGACGTTGCTGTGTCGTTAAAGAAACTTATTGGTTTATTTTGAATTTTCCGATTTTCCTTACTGATTGGAGGATTAGCGCATTGTGTTTTCTAAAGACTTCAACCTTATTGGGAGATATTTTTCCACGTGATAAATTCTATCCCGCTGATTGGCTCAAATTCGGCTATATATTTTTCAATCCAACCGCCCCTCACGTCTTTGAACAAGACTCGTTTCAGTGCGCACTACGTAGGCTTGCTTGGGGTTTTGCCTTCTTTTTAGCGTTGTAAAGCAGCATTTTGGAGAATATTTCATTTGTGCTTATTGTTATCTGTCGTTTGTTTGTTTGTTTGTATGTTTGTTTTAAGCAATATTAGCTGTATTCAGCTGGCGTGTTCACTTCTTATTATGGTAAGTAATACTTACATATTTGCTGTGTCGATTTTTACGCAAGCAGCTTCATTATTCTTGTGATATAATTTGGAAAAGAGTAAAGTAGTTTTGTTGAATCTGCAGCGTGAGTGAGTGTCCATGTGGCACGTGATGTAACATTTAACGGTAAGACACGAAGGGGCGGTGGACTCGCGCTGCTGCGAACCGGTTCCGCCGTTACATTCCCGCAGAAACTGGTTGATCACACCGGGACCAGACTCGAGTCTCAGACATTGGGGTTTTACAACCACAATGTCCTAGGAAGCAAAAACGCTTTAAAAAGGGAGGGAGGAGTCCTAACTGTTGCTGCAGGCTGTAACGGGGTGACTCGAGCTGGGCGAGAGTTTGGATGTGGCGTGGCTTTTAACCCAAGCGCGGAGTGACTGACGCCGGGTTGAATGGACACGCTGTTCTGGGAGCCGAGTGCGCAGCTGTATGGTGACCTGGTGACACAGCTGAACACGGCGAGTCCTGGTCTGAGGCTGGTCTCTAAGAACAGGCAGGATTCTTAGATCTGGCTGGTCTGATCTGAACAGGCTTCGTGATCTGAGACAATCTGGTTTGGACTCTGGGTTAGGTTCGGTTCGAACAATGACTTTGGTTTTATGCTTGACGCATTCACTTTCCGCGCGGTGATGCGGCTCGCGGATGGAACGCGCTTCACAACTCGCAGTGTTTATGGTTTGTGCGGCTTGTCTCTGCGGTGAGCCAATATTCTCCCAAACTGAACGGGGCAGCATGGAGCTCTACAGCATGCATTCAACACTACACCATAGTAGAAGTAGAACTTACTGTTTACAACATGGCATTTCAGCATTTTTAACAGCGTTCTCGTCTTTTCCGACAGTGCGAGCTATTTCTCTCCAAGAACTATTAACAACATGTTGATCACGGTGACCTCTGAGAGCTGAATCATACAAATGTCTATTTACGAACCTCTGCCATAGTAGTTCTTGCTGGTCCGCCATGTTTTTCCGCGTGGTTAGAAATTTTCCGAGGTGTGCATTGCGGAAATTCTGGGCCGTGCGGAGGCGCGGTGGAGGGGCGTAGTTGTTAAAATGACGCAACTTTTCCGCGCGGAGCCGTGCGGACCTCGCACCTGGTTGGTTAATGCTTGATGGTTGATGCCGACGTGAGTCGGTGTTGTGCGGCACTTCCTTAAATAGATTTGGCGGGTGACGTGAACCGGAAGCCTGGCGCTGGGGATGTTGGGTAATGGAGTCTGAGCGGCTCTGCGGTGCCTCCCTAGAGGAGGTTGCGTGAGTGACACAGGCGTGTTGTGTGAGAGTGCAGTTATTTACTGGTTAATAGGGCTGCTCGATTATGGCAAAAATAATAATCACGATTATGGTGACTGAAATTGAGATCACGATTATTTAGGACGATGTTTCAATTTATGTTGATTTTATTTGTTTTTATTAAGTCATAAAATTGCTCAGGGCACAATCAGGACAAAAATAATAAACAAGATGATCACTAAAATAACTCCTGATTCCCAGTATAAAAAGACCAATATACTTATAGCTCACAGTCTATGACCCAAGGGCTATAGACCTTGGTTTAACTCATGTAAGTCTAACCAGTACAGACCCAAATACCAATACCTTGCAAATACTGACAGCAAGAATTATACAGTGACATTTATAACAAATAAATGCAAAGAAATTGATGTTCACAAAATGTTGCATAACATTGAGTCGTGTCAAGGTGCTGTAGGAGAGTGCACAAGCACCGTGTCCTCAGAGAGATTAGTTATTAGTTATCAGCGTGAGGAACTTATTTCTACCTTATTTATAAACTATTTATTTACAGGTCCATCAGTTAATGTAATAATTGTCCCAACCACAGCTACACCCCCAACCCGGTCTCACAGCAATCGGGGCAAGCTGCACATGTGTTTAGCGCGCCGCACACGCACATTTAGTCATTTTTAGTGGCTCAGGAGTCCGCAGGTGCGGTGTGTGTGTCACTCACTCTGGTTAATCCAACAGGGAGCCAGCTCCGAGAGCTGTTAAGCTAACCTGCAGGAAATGTTGACGACAGTTATCCAGAAAATAGCTAAGGGTTCCCAGAGATGTTTCTGAGGTGTTTGCTAGGTACTTGTAAGTTTGAAAAGTCAAGAAGGGGGTCTGAAAAGCTGCTAGAAATAGCGTCAAAGTCGCTAAGTTGGCAACACTGTGGAGGAACGCTTCATTTGCAACTCAGGGCAGCGCAAGCGGGAGGAGCAAATAATCGGCTTGTTTTGTTTTTTTATAATCGTTCAAAACTCAGATTGTAATCGTGATTAAAATTCGATTAATTGAGCAGCCCTACTGGTTAATATATTTTTGGGTTCAGTTGCTTTCATGTGGTCTAATGTGAGTCTATTTGGGATCATTGGAATGATCAGCAGCATTTTTTGATGTGACTTATGGCAGTTGCCCAGGGCATCATCACAAGGAGGATGGCATTCATTTACTTTTGGTTTATTTGGTATTTTTTCAGTCATTTGTGGAAATGGTGATTAATTTTGATTAATTCACAGCCTATGTTTAATTACATTTAAAAATTAGTTGTTTGACATCCCCAATAATAATAAATGTCTACAGATGAGATCAAACAAAACAGATGAGAATTGCCCTTAAAGAGCAAGTCACCCCCAAATCAACTTTTTTTTGCTGATAAAACGTGGAAGTAAAGTGCATATTTGAGTCACTTCTGTTTTATGTTTCTAACAGAAACTTGTAGTTTTTCACATTTGAATGTAATATTGTCAAAAGTTTATTTTTGGCTCCCTGGAGGGCTACGCCCAACCAGCCATTCCTCCCCATCCCCGCATATTTCTCTCCTCCTGCTCCCTCACATCATCACACAAACATACACATAGGAACTTGGGGGGGTGGGCATATCAGGGAGTGCGGGTATGGACCCATTTCCGCATTCCTGTGACAACCTGCCCCCCAATTTATTTGCACCTTATACACTTCCACTGACGACATTCCACACAAACACACACTTAGGGCCTTGGGAGTGAGCACATTCAGCGGCATTTGGCAGGGGGATATCTCAGCCTCCTCCAGGGTGCCGGTGGCCACTTCCAATTTTAAAGTGCACTTAGACACCGAGGGCTGTGGGTGCAAGTGGGGTGGTGTGGTGGCATCAACTGGCATGGGCAGACAATGCCCGCACTGCCCGCTCACCACAGCCATGGAATACACCTCATCAACGAACACTAACTATATTGGAGCAGGCGGAGGGAGACTAGGGGTCTTAGCACACCTCTGTTGTTGCTTGGCTTCCTGGGGCTGGAGGCTAAGAGGGAGATCTGGCTGTCTGGTTGGGGTCTGGGGTGGTGGGTTGCTGGGCTCAGCGTTGGGCGGGGAGTCTGTTCATCAGCACCCCAGCAGAAAGGGTCAAACTCTAGTAATGGTTGTACCCAATGTGCAGCAGTACCGGGACTAGGGTGTGTATAGGGAGCATAAGTGGGTGTCTGGCATGCATTTTTAGAAGTCTTTGGTTTCATGTGTATGTGTGAGCATGAGAGGGAGTGTATTACTGTGTTTGTGTATAGGGCTGCAACTAACGATTATTTTCATAATCGATTAATCTGTCGATTATTTTTTCGATTAATCGATTAATCGGTTTGTTATTGTTTAGCTATTTAACCTATACAAGTGATGGATGCATTTCAGTTAAGAAAAAAAAACATAAGAGAATTGTGCAGTTGACTGCAATCTATTTTATTGCACATGAACACAGTCAGCAGTATAAAATGAGCTAAACAGTGCAAAATATCAGTCCAGAATAATTTTTTAGCATTAGCTGGAAGCCTGCTCCTTCCACCATGGATAGTGGCCTCATGTCTTTTACCAGCATGTTTAGAATAGAGTTTGTAAGTGGTATGAATTGCTGGGGGGTGAGTGTCTCTTTCCCCATGTAGTTGTCCATCGTTGCTTGTTTTTTTTCTGCATAAGAAACACAAATAGACTGAAATAAGTACACATATAAAATAAAGCAGCACACACACTACAACACTAAATCAATATTATATTATTTGAATTAATTAACAATATACAGTGATCATTTATTTTGAGGGTTACGTTCTACAAAATAGCCTGCAACAGGAGATATTCAGAAAAAAAGTCTAATTTTTTTACTATTAAAAAGCTCTAAGTAAGAAGCTCATGAGGTTTTTACTTTGAGTCGGGAGTGTTTAAATTAGCTAGAGAAATGTGAAAAATGTTTATTTTGTGTAATACTGTTTAAGAAACATGATAAAAATGTGTTGTGAGGCGTTTTACAGCGTTAGATAGTAAAACAGCCTTTTAATAGTAAAAAAATGACTTTTTCTGAATTTCTCCTGTATTTAAAAATTGAAAGCGTACAACTATGCCGCGTTATATTCACCTGGACACAGCTCGTCTGTATATTTTTCACCGCGGAGTTGTCCTTTTTTGAATGAGGAACATAGTTATGGGTTTGTGCCGTTTTTCTCTTAACGAGAACATTCTTATAAACAGACGTGCTGAATTTGGCAAGCGCATGATTCACAACACGGAGGAGATTCACGATGGCATCTAGTCAATCAGAAGTAGAACACCGTAGACTGACGCGGCAAAAAAAACATGTTTAACATTCACTATAACGAACTCAGCTAAAACACTAAGTCCAGCTTGTTTATTTTCTGTTACTTACCGGGCTGGCTCTTCCAAATGACGGCTCACTTGACCGCGGTGCTCTTCCTCTGCTGCATCAGCCCCCACATGCTTTCGTCTCAAATGTTCACTTAGGGACGTCGTGCTTCCGTGCCATGCTAGATGGTTTTTGCATATTTTGCCTTTTCAAGTTATCTAGTGAAGTGCTCCCATACTCGTGAGGTTTTTGTCCGGGGTTTCTCTAAAGTTTTGTCGCTTCTATTTTTCTTCCGTATTTCCTCTTGTTCCGCCATCTCTCACAGCAAGATGAGCGCATTCTATGGATGAGCGTCAGTAACGTGATACGTCATGAAAACCGAGGGCACTCATTGGCTCATTTCTTCTTCTACGGCTCCACTGGTAGATCAGTGGCTCATTACTGCCACACACTGGTGGCAAATTTAACAGCTTGTAACCGATGTCAGATTGTGGTAAAAATAGACTTTATGCGGTAAAATATGATTATTAAACAACTAATCGATGACTAAAAAAGTTGTTAACTATTTTAATAATCGATTATAATCGATTAAATCGATTAGTTGTTTCAGCTCTATTTGTGTATGACTGTATATGTCAGGTGGGGCCTTTGACTCCTCCCTTCTCCTGGGACTTGTTTTGATGATATAGATCTTCGTCTCCCCTCTCCCTGCCACACCTGGTGTGGAGTGCGGTACCTTGGTCTGCCTGAATGTTCGTGGCTCCCGGGTCAGGGGGTTTAAGATTTTTGGCATCTGTCTGATCAATCCCGGTGGCTGCCTGGTGGGGTCTGGGTCCCTGGGCTCTGCTGGGTCCCAGGCGGGGGGTGGGAGGCTGCAGGTGGGCTTGCCGCTGATATCTCCCGGGTCTCTGCCAGCTGCTGGTTGTGGTCCCCCCAGGGCGATCCTCTGCACCTCTCAAGGGGGCGGGGGCCTTTCTGGTTGCAGTCTCCTTGGGGTTTTTGTGTTCTGGGGCAGCGGCTGGATCTCTGGGACTTGGAGCTCTCTTAGTCTCCTACACATCTTTGGGGGCAGGTCTGTGGCCCCTCACACTCTCTATTGGACGCTCCTATAGAGAAACCTTACATAAACAAGCGTGTGTACACACACACAGGTGCTCATATAAGTATGGACTTGGGCACGTTCAACACATGTCTTAAGGCTGTCGTTGCCACTAAATGCACTATGATTTATTATTATTGTGTGATTGTATTTCTTCAAGTTGACACAGTGATAGCTTGCTCCTGTTGTGTTGTGTGTCCCATTTTTTTCTCTTCTTTCTCTTTCTGCAGGCCTAGAAGCAGACTCTTGTTCATTATTGTTTATTTTTGTGGACCCCCCCCCCCCCCTTTTCTGCCCCCACCTTTTGTCTTTGTCTTTATCTTTCGCCTCTGATTCCGTGTCTGGTCGGAATTACAAAGTATTCAAAAACAATAAAGTTTAAAGTATCAGACGTGACATTAGCTTTGATGCTCCACTTGAGAGTAAATCTGTAAGGCTTTTCACCAACATTCAGACATCAATTCTGTTTGCTTCACAGCCAGACAGGACACAGGGAAAAAATAATGATAAAAATAATGTAATATTGTGAGTTTATTTTTAGTCATGCAAAGTTTAATGTAGAAATAAGTAAAACGTTATTAAAAGTTACAGTACTTAAAGCTAAACTGAGATTAAGTAAAATAATGTAAATACCATAAGACTATTCAAAAGTTTGACTGATAACAATGGGGTGTTTAAACTATTAAAGTTGCATTGTTTAAGACTAAATTAAAGAATATGTTGTGACTGAATATTTCATACAATGCAGTTATAAATAAATGTTTTTTAGTATATGTATTGCTGACTATTTGAATTAGTCTAAGCATTATATATAGAATACAGCAGGTGTATGTGCACTTTCATAAGTGCAAGTAAGTTCTAATAAAACTTGACATTTAATAACTTTTGATATTTTTAAACAATAGTTTGAAATTTAGCATGATTTAAAACTACATTCTTGGGGTTTGATTAGAAATTTTCATTTTTATATTATGATTCCTTGTTCAGGGGTTATCAGTAAAGTAGTAATAATTATGTTAATGTATTTTGTCATAGATGTCACACACAAGTTATTAATTTTTATCCTTTAAATTAGATTATACTGTGATTAACTCATTTAAAGAGCAAGTCGCCCCCAAATCAACTTTTTTTTCTGATAAACTATATAAATGTGTGTCTAATCGTGCTACAGAAATGCATAGTCAATAGTTTTGCACTTTAGTGCATTTTAGTTAAGATTTTAATTTTCTGCCTAAAACTGTCAGTGTTGTGCCGTTGTCAGATAAAAACTCTGCACTACATTTGAATTTAAATCTGTCATAGCTATTGACTAAGAGGTACACAGTGATGTTAGATGTTACATTATTATGTCACAATGTTGTGAGTGTGTGTATTTGTTTGTGGCTCTACCCTCTCTGTCTGCTAGACAACAGCATTTGTTGCATTTTTCAAACAGGAAGTGGGAGTTGAGTAAGAATCTGGTCATGGGTGACTTGCTCTTTAAAATTTAGGATTGTTTTTACAATTATATAAGTTTAGCAAATTGATGGTTGTATAAGATTCTAAAAGGTGTGAGTGAGTGAGTCTAATTCTGTCTTTACCGAGTACAGACACATGATAACATAGAAATCCATAGTGTTTGTGTTGCTTTTCTAATAGTGCTGTCATGTATTTTATGTTTCAAACAGCATTCACTATGCCTGGCAAAGAGTCCAAACGCAAGGCGGATGCTGCTAAGCGCAGCAATCGTCCAGCTCCGCCTATTCGTATCGGGATTCCAACGCACATCAATGATGATGTTAATTGTATGTATTGCAGTATTATTTCGCAGAACAAATTATTGTAGTGTTTTGCAATCGATTTAATCTATACTGTATTTATGTAAGATGAAAAATTATTAGCCAAAAAGATTGTTAATTTTTGTGTGTGTGTTTTTGTTTTGTAAGTTTCTGGAACTGGCTTTCGTCATCGAGTTCGTCGTTGGCCGACCAGTGTGATTTCTAACAAAGCTCACAAGTTGGTCCTTCCAGATGAGATTCCTGACAAGAAAGTGAGTGTAATGTCCACAAATATTTAAAATATAAATATAGATTTTCTTCCAATACTATCTAGCAGTACTCTGGGATTCTAAGGAAACGGTCAGATGGTGTTGAAGCCGCTATCAGTTACAGTGCTGCAAACAGACTGAATCGGCTTCTTTTTGACATGTGCCTAAAGTCTACCAACTTTTGAATCTTAATAGAAAACCTAGTTGTGTTCATCTTCCTTTTTAGTCGGTGCTTCTCAATCTGTGATTTAGAACTTAAGCTGCTCAGTTATTTTTACATATCTTTATTTGTATTTATGTTGGTGTATTCTGTGATTAGTTTTACCATTTCATGTTTTATTGTTTGTAAACTTTGACTGTTTAATGTGATCTCTTTCTTCCTGAAAAGCATATTGCATTGCCGTTTGTATGAAATGTCATAGAAATACAGATTGTTTTATATTGAAATGTATTTATAAATTTTTCTAATTTAGTTCATCCTACTTGTTGGGGACTCCCACTTGAGGTCCGTGGCAGACGGCATAGTCCCTATGCCGGTTGGCGGCCTCGCTTTTGGTGTGATGTCCACTCCAGGAGCTTGTGCAGATCTTCTGCGCCTTGAGGTTTCACAGGCTGTGTTACCTCGGGAGCCTGATGCTGTTTGCGTCATGGCTCCTTCTAACAACCTTACGGCCAGCAGAACAGTTGAAGAGGCAGGGGATGCATTTGAGCGGTACCTTTTGGCTGTTCTCAGTCGCTGGCCTAAGGTGAGAGGCTGATTTGTGTAATTTTGAAGGTATGAGAGATGACAGTAAACGTACATCCTTAAAAATAATTGTATTCTTTCTTCTTCTTTTTTTTTTTTTAGGTTTTCTGTACCTCCATGATTCCCCGTTTAGTTGGATCCTGGGAGCGTCAAGACCTGTTTCAGCAGGAGTACCACCGCAGATCGGCTAAGCTAGGTAAGTTGCAACATAATTAGATGAAAAGGTAGTATTAACGACAAGCGTTATTGCTATTTACTCTTAGGTATCAAACAATCACAATTTATAAGTTTACATGAATTTTTTCCTTCTGCTTCGAAGGTGTAAGTTATGTGCCGATCCACGATCACCTACCCAGGTACCGTCTTAAACTGTGGTGCCGTGATGGTGTAAGTATATTGCTTGGAAGAAAACAAGGTAAAGGTTCTTAAGTTTGAGATGATAAATTTGTATTCTTTTGTTCGTGTTTGTGGTTGCAGATCCACCTCAGTGATAATCACGGGATGCCTATACTCACGCAACTGATGTGGAATGCCTCCTATCAGTTCTTGGAGACACACGCACCAAAGCCACTGGTGCAGCACCAGGTGTCTCGTCCGCAGAAAGCGAGTATTGTGCCCCGTGTGGTTGTGAAGGGTGTGGAACGCATTCCACCTCCACGCCCTTCCGAATGGACGTTTGTGAGACCTAGCGGGAAGGTGAGAGACTTTATAAAGTATAAATATTGTAAAATGTTTATAATTTTAGGCAACTGGGCCAGTAATGCTTCTAAATGTGTTTTATTTACCATTGCAGAGAAACCATTCAGGGGAATTTGAAAAGACTTCTAATTCCCCCAAGAAACGAGTGGTTGTTTCTAAGGTTTGTGAATGTTTTTGATTGATCTTTTTCAAAGAATTTTGATTAGATGATAATATGTGGTGAATTTTCTTCAATAGGCTGATGACACTTCAGTGGCCTTGAAGGAGTGTTTCATCCCCCTGAATCCCGTTAGGTTCTCACCTTCAATTCTGGCTGCCATGGACACGATTGCTCCAGCGGATGGTCCCACAGATATACAGGTAGCTTTAAAGCAAAAGTTTATTATCTTTTAATGTAAAGTGTAATGTTGTTCCTGGTGCTTGTAATATGGGCTGTCTGTATGGTATATTTGAAAGTATTGTACTTAATCGTATTATTTTCTGTTTGTAGACTACATCTGTGCGACATTTTAAGAAAGCAGCTAGGCGTGTCCAGCAGGAGGTTGATTCATTAAATTATCTGGCATACAAATACATTGTGGTGTTATTTTTCTTCACCGTTGTTGTTCTTTAATTATAGGTTGCATCCACACCTTGCATAAATCCTCTTGCAGACGTGGAGTCTGTTCGGTCTAGGAAGGAGGTAAGAAGCGTGTGTTTCAAACATAAAAACTAAACTAATCTTTATTGACGATGTATTGACCTTTAATTTCTTCTGTATAGGTGTTGGACTGTGACCAGCTGCCTTCACCCCACCATCAGGAGGCATCTGGTTGTCCTGGGTCTGTCTCTGGGTCTGTTGCTGCCCATGCTGTGATGCTTCCTTCTGGCCATCATGCGCATGCATCACCCAGAGGTCAGTCTGCTAACACCCCTTCTTGCGTGCGTTCACAGGTTTTGCTGTCATCTCTAGTTCCCGAGACAACTGTTCAAAATCCTGTTGTAAATAATTTTGATAAAGATAAAACAATTTTACACAACGATGATACAATTTTAGACTCTGTCCTAGGATCATTTCATCAGGGCGATGGGCGTTTTAAATATGGGGGAGTTCAGTGTGCAGCTATTACTGTTGTTGCTTTAACAAAGCACAAACAGAAGAGTGTTTTCTCTTGGGATTTTGCCGTGTTGGATAACGTTGTTGAGTTAGGAGATGAGCTGTACACAGATTTGCGCGACAACAAGAAGATTAGAGGTGGACATGAGTTTCTCTCTGTTCCAGACTTGCCAAAGGAAATTGACATAGAAGAACAGCGTTTTAAGCTTGTTTACGGGGATTTCGTTTTAGGAGATGTAGATGTAGCTGAAGGCGAGTTAATAGATGCTGGTGTGTACACTCCTCTCCTGGATGGATTGAAGAAGATGTGCACACAGCATGAAACTTGCATTATGACATTAAGTGGCAATACTTGTGCTATCATTTGTGATAATGGACGTTATGCTGTAGTAGATTCCCATTCACGCTCCGCAGACGGCATGGTAGACCCGACAGGACAGAGTGTAGTTCTGTACTTTGCGAACCTTGATAATGTTTTTCAACATTTTCAGAGATTTGCTAGTGAACTGGTGGGATCTCAGAGGTTATTTGAGATCACTGGAGTGGATATTGTTCAGATGGACACATTTAAACATGTATCTGAACAAACAGATGACATTGACATAAACCCTGTTATTTTTGTTAGTGATGCTAGTACTAAAGATTTTCATTTCAGTCCCGTTTCTAGAGACGTGTCACAGGCGTTGAGTAAATGTCTGAATGTGAAGTCTGCGATGGTTGATGAATCATCTCCTGTTCCTTCATGTAGCACAAGTGTGGTTAACGTTGATGATGACAACAGTATTGTAAACAATTATACAATTTTAAGCTCACTTACAGGATCATTTAATCAGAGCGATGGGCGTTTTAAATATGGCGGCGTTCAGTGTGCAGCAATTAGTCTTGTTGCTTTAACTAAGCACAACATACAAAGTGTTTTTTCATGGGATGTTGCCATGTTAGACAATGTTGTTGTTTTGGGCGATGAGCTGTACACACATTTGCGTGACAGTAATCTAATAAGTGCTGGGAATGTGTTTCTTTCTGTTCCAGAATTGCCAAAGGAAATCGTTATGGGCAAACAGACTTTTAAGTTGAATTATGGCGATTTTGTTTGTGGAAATGTAGATATCGTTGAAGGCGAACTTATAAATGCTGGAGTGTACACTAGTCTTTGGGATGGTTTGAATAAGATGTGTACACAATATGAAACATGTTTATTTACACTTGGAGACAATACTTGCGCTTTACTTAGTGAAGATGGACATTATGCTATTGTTGATTCACATGCTCGTTCTGCAGATGGAATGGTTGATCCAAACGGTAAAAGTGTAATTCTATACTTTAGTAGTCTTGACAATGTTTTTAGATATATTCTGAGGTTTGCCAGTAAATTAAATGGAACTCAGAAGTTGTTTGAGATCAGTGGAGTTAACATTGTTCAGATGGACACATTTAAAAATGTTTCTAAACAAACAAGGTTGGCTCCAACAACAGGAAAGGAGGTTAGGCGTGAAGAGTCATTTACACTCTCGGAACCAATAAAGTTACAGACAGATGACATTGACATAAACCCTGTTGTTTTTGTTAGTGATGTTAGCACTAAAGATTTTCATTTCAATCCCATTTCTAGAGACGTGTCACAGGTTTTAAGTAAACGTCTGAATGTGAAGTCGGCAATGGTTGATGAATCATCTCGTGTGATTGGTGAATTGGGTGTACCATGCATGAATAAATCAATAGTGGCAGATGGAAACTGTTTTTTTAGAGCACTTAGTCAAGCTGTTTATAGCACCCAGGAATATCATAGAAAAATCCGTCTTGCTTTGGTCAGTCAGTTAAAAAAGAATCCTCAAACGTATAAAACCATTTTAAGAAGTGAGTATTCCTCAGTTTTGCAGTACCTCACCTCATCCAGGATGCAATACGTTGGCAGTTGGGCAACTGAAGTGGAAATTCAAGCTGCTTCTGATTATTTTGGCATTAACATATTTACTTACTGTAATGATAAATGGCTTAAATACACTTCCAACAGCAACTTTTCACAGCAGGCTGTTTATTTGGAGAATATTAATGGTAACCATTATGAGACAGTGGTTTGTGTAAAACAACCTAACACAGGAACTTGTTATGGTTATTGTGGCCCTGTAAATAGTATTTCTGGTAGATACAATACTCGACATGCCCCTACAGAACATTTAAAATGTTCAGTAGAAACTGTGACACTTGAGCCGAGTTCCATAGATACAGATGGTGTTAGTGTTGTTCATTCAAATACTTTATTTACTCCTATGTCTGCAGATTTTTGTAAAACTCTGTGTAATCGGTTGAAAATAGATTTTGAGAAACACAATTCTCAAGAGTCCACATCAGGTGGGCCTTTAGGAAATGTGTGTAAGACAGAACATATTATTGAAGATGGTAACAGTTTTTTTAGAGCTGTAGCTCATGTAATTAGTGGGTCACAGAAGGGCCATCGTAAGATCAGACTCGCTGTTGTTTCTTATATGTCCAAAAATGCTGAAGAGTGTGAGAACTTTCTGGGGAAAGAACATGCTTCTGTGTCAGAATACATAAAAAAGTCACAGATGAATTATGTCGGTCACTGTGCTACAGAAGTAGAATTTAGAACTACAGCCAGTGTTGTAGGATTACCCATATTTATCAACAATGGCACAGAGTGGGTCAAATATAGTTCTCAAACTGGTAATTTTGTCACTGAGGGACTATATTTGTCAAACTGTAATAATCATTTTGAACCCGTTCTTTGCATAAGACTGTGTAATAAAGAAACATGCTTTGGGTTTTGTAAAGTTGATTCTTTGTCAGACAACGTAAACAAATGCAGAAGGTCAACTGTGATGCAGTTAAATGCTGACCCAAACATGGAAAAGATGAAAATGAGGAAGAGTTTTTCTAGATATTTAAAGCGAAATAAGGCTTCTGCAGAAGCCTCTAATTATAAAACGATAAGTGCAGTTAAAGACAAAATAAAAAGTCAGAAAAAAAATGCATACAAGCAAAATGCTGCTTACAGAATGAAAAAGATCAGCGTGACCAAATTTAAATACAAATGTCTTCTTGCACATAAAGAGAAAGTTAAACGGAGAGCCAAACATAGGGCCATTTTCAACTACCATCATAATTTGGCTTACAAAGAGAAAGTTAAACATAGGGTCAAACATAGGGCCATTTTCAAATACCATCATAATTTGGCTTACAAAGAGAAAGTTAAACATAGGGCCAAACATAGGGCCATTTTCAAATACCAGCATAATTTGGCTTACAAAGAGAAAGTTAAACATAGGGTCAAACATAGGGCCATTTTCAACTATCGTCATAACTTGGCTCATCGAGAGAAGCTTAAACAGGTGAGTGTGTATAAGTATCGTCATAACTTAGCTCATCAAGAGAAGCTTAAACAGGTGAGTGTGTATAAGTATCGTCATAATTTGGCTCATCGAAACAAAATGAAAGAGTTGAGTGGAAAGAAATACCTTAATATTGAGCATAAAACATGTTTAATAGAAAGTATCCAGCATAAAAGAAAGCTGATTAAAGTAAATGCACAAAACTTTGATTTTGTTGTAGATCAATTTTTAGAGAAAGTGAAAGATGGACCTGATTTTGTGTGTTGTGTCTGCTCACGTTTGTTGTTTAGACATCAGGTCTTAAATTGTAATCAAGAGTACTATAGAAAAACCAAAGAAATGTCACTTATAGCAGATAAATGTATAAGTGACAATCATCTGCACATTTGCGATGATGCCTGTAGATTACCTTGCAAATTTAATTTATGTAGAAATAAACTGTACATCTGTTACACGTGTCATTATAAAATGGGTAAATGTCAGATACCCCCAGAAAGTTCAATCAACAAGCTGACTGTTGATCCCATCCCACCTCAACTGGCATGTTTAAATACATTAGAGCAACATTTAATAGCGATGAATATACCCTTTATGAAAATGTTGGCTCTGCCCAAAGGTGGTCAGAATGGGATTCATGGTCCTGTCACTTGTGTACCTGCAAATATAGTGGAAACGTGCAGTTTGTTACCACGTACCAACATGGAGGGGTCTTTATTACCTGTAAAGTTAAAGCGTAAATTGACATATAAAGGACACTATGATTATCAGTATGTTGACACACAGCATGTTCAGGAAGGTCTTCAGTATTTAAAACGTCATAATTTGCATTATAAAGATGTAGAGTTCAATGAATCTTGGATTAACACATTTACTCAGGAAGATGCGTCATCTGTCCTGGAAGAGGATAGTGGTTCTGGTAAAGATGAAGATACTTGCATAGATGGAGAAGATGAGTTATTGCATGACAGACAACAACACTGTATGTTTCAGGACACCTGTCTCATGCCAGTAGATATAGGACAAGAAGCATTGGACCAGTATGTAGATAACATATTAAATGTAGCTCCAGGTGAAGGTAACAATCCAGTGAAATTGCTTTCAGATTTTACAAATGAAGCAAAAAGTTTTCCCGTCTTGTTTCCTTCAGGATCTAATACTTACTATGAAAGCAGACAATTTCGTTTGACTCTGAATCGGTATTTCAACAACAGGCTTCTTCATGTTGATGGTCGATTTGCCAACAATGTAGAATATATATTTTTTGCACAGTACATGTCTGAACTAGAGCAAGTTGTGTCCAAAGTTTCTATAGCTTTGCGTAAAGGTAAAAGCGGTGAATCTCAGAAGTTGGGTAATTTGATACAGGATCAGGATTCTTTAAGTAAGCTGTTAGAGTTTGATGATGGCTACCGGTTTCTTAAACCAATTCGCGGCACACCTGCTTTTTGG